GGGGCAGGTGGGTGGGTCCGAGGGTAGCGGACGCTGCTCCTGCTGGCTTCTGTGTCCTGGGAAGCAGGACTTTGGTTTTATTCTAAGGGGCCTTGCAGGGCACAGCAGGGAAGCCAGGGGAATCTGATGCAGATTTAAAATGACCCCTAATGGGGAGGGGGAAGGCAGAGCCTCCCAGGAAAAGGGCAGGGGGGCTAAGGGACGAGATGACGGGTCCCAAAGGGCAGTGTGGCCAGGGCAGGAGACGCTGTGGTGCAGGCGTGCCAGGGGAGCCGTCGGGAAATAGCTCAGTACCTCTCTGAGCTGAGGCAGGTACTGGTGTCAGCCCATTTTGCAGACGGGGAGACTGAGGCTGAATATGGTGATGGAAAAGGACCTTCTTGGGGCCCTTGAACAGCAGGGCCTTCCTCCTGGGGCTTGGAGGGTGGGGCTGTGTCTGGTGGGAGTTGGGGAGAGGCAGGGCCCATCCTGAGGCTTGAGTGAGGGTGGGTGCAGAGGGGACCGGCCATGAAGTCGGTTCCAGAGCTTCCACCCACCACACTGGCTGCCGTGAACGCCCTACTGCCTAATGACACGTGACCCCTCTGGGCTCCGTGGGCGTTTTCTGCAGTCCCCCCCCCCCCAGCCCCTTCCCAGGAACGCAGTGTGCAGAGTGGGTGCTGGCGGCCCTCCTCGCGTCCTCCCAAGGTGCTGGCGGCCCTCCTCGTGTCCTCCCAAGGGTCCCGCGCTGCCATGGGCTTCTCATGGAACAGCCGAGGAGAGAGGCCCGACAGCCAGCGTGCCTGGCCGCTGGGGGTCACCGCTGGGCCAGGGACACTTTCGAGGCCGAGGGTGCTGGGTGGCCGAGTCCCTGAGAGGTGGGCCGGCCTGTCACAGGGCCACCGGCAGAGCTGGGAGACAGGGCGGCCTCGGGGGGCTCTGTCCTTGAGCTGGGCTCTGCCGTATGGGCGGGAGTTGGATGTGCCATGTTCAGAGCGGTGTGCCCTTCGGCCCCTAGTGCCTCGGTTTTCACATCTGCAAAATGGGGATACTGATCGCGCTTGCCTGTTGGCTGTCTGCGAGGAGGGCCAGGGAGCGGCCCGAAGGAGCGTCTGAGCGCTGGGCGTGCGTCCCTGTGCTGTCTTCGCCGGGAGAGGGAGGGAGGGCGGGCATCCCCTCACCCCATCTCCACACCCACTGCCTCCTTCTGGCGCAGGCCCCGATCACCCCACCTGCCCTGCGCCACCCCCTTCCTTTCTTTTTTTATTTGTTGTTACTCCTCACCTGAGGATATGTTTCCATTGATTTTTAGAGGGAGTGGAAGGGAGGGGGAGAGACGGAGAGAAACATCTATGTGAGAGAGACACGTTGATTGGTTGCCCCCCGCACGTGCCCCACCAGGGCTGGGGATCGAGCCTGTAACTGAGGTTAGTGCCCTTGACCGGAATTGAACCCGGGACCCTTTAGTTCATGGGCCAATGCTCTACCCACTGAGCAAAACCGGCCAGGGCTCCACCCTCTGTCTGATCTGGAATATTCCAGAATCTTTGGAGAGTGGCCAGAAATGCTCCCTCGCCCCCACTGTATCTCTGGGGTGGAGGGATGCCCCCCTCAAGCTGGCCGGGACCTGACCGTGCCGGACACACAGCATGTCCTGGCGTGTCACCCCTGCGACCCAGCCTCCTGGGGCTCCAAATCGGAGTGGACTCGGGTCAGAGCGCGGCTGGGGAGCGCCTGCCGGGCGCCAGGCCCCTCTGAGTGCTCCACCTGCGCTGGCCGAGTCCTCCCCGGGGCCCACGGGCGGGACATTTGTGGTTCCTGATGAGGAGACAGAGTGGAGGGGGTGATGTTGGTGACTCCATGCCCAGCTCGGAAGTGGCAGCTCACGTTCCATGCCCGGCAGGCCGGCTCCAGCGCCCTCCCACTCCCGCCCCTGAGCCAGCCGCTCCGGGAGCTCAGGGCTGGGCAGGGCTGGAGCCACTCCCAGGCCCAGGGGCCGAGGTGGGGCTGGGTGGGAGCTGTGCCTGGGAGCGGGGGCAGCACAGGGATGGACCTGGGTTTCGTCCCCGCTGCCCTCGGCGCTCCCAGCACCCGGCCGGCCTCCGTTCCCTCACCTGCCTCCAGTGCATGTGCCTCCGGGCGGTGGCTTTCCTCCACTTCTCACCCCTCCTCCCAGGCCCTGCCCCGGGCAGCGCTGTGAGCAGGGCCTGTCCTGCACCAGCAGCGTGTGTTGAGGGGCACGGTGTCACCCCAGCTTTGTCCCAAGACCCGGTGAGAGACCTGGAGTGCCACCTTCGACTTGTCAGGTGGGAGGGGCCTGGGGTTTGCACCCGTGTCCCTGGAAGGACGCTTCTGAGTGCCCCAGGGTGGACGGCAGGGGTGCCCCCTGCTGATTCCTCAAACTCGGTCAGTGTGGCCAGGAAACGCCAGGACACCCTCCTGTCCCCACCGCCCAGGCCCAGGGCAGCGGGCCCTTGGCTGCTTGGGATGGTGGCCAGCCTCATGGTGAGGACCCCCCACACACCTAGTAGGGCTGCTGCCGAGTGGCCACAGCACAGCTGTCCAGTGGGACCGGGTTCTGAGCCGGCCTCCATCAGAGGGAGCTGGACAGCGCTTAGCCTCGCTGAGCCTTCCGCCGGCCCGGTCCTTAGGCAGCGGCCGCAGGAGGACGGGCTCAGAGGCCCCGGCAGCCAGGCTCCAGGAAAGCTGTTCGCTGGCGCATCAGGGT